TAGAGTTTGCTTTTGGCATCCAGGCTGGAGTGCAATGGTGCGATCTCAGCTTACTGCAACCACTGCCTCCCAGGTTTAAGTGATTCTCCTGCCTCAGCCTCTCTAGTAGCTGGGATTACAGGCGCCCACCACTATGTCCTGCTAATTTTTGTATTTTTAGTAGCGACCACGTGATCACAGGCGTGAGGCATTGTGCCCTGCTGTGAGATCCCATTTCTACACATACACACACACGCACACACAAATTAAAACATTAGCTGGGCGTGATGGCACGTGCCTGTGGTCCTAGCTACTTAGGAAGCTGAAGTGGGAGGATCGATTAAGCCCAGGAGATTGAGGCTGCGGTGAGCTGTGATTGTGCCACTGCCCCCCAGCCTGGGCAGCAGAGCGAGACCGTGTCTCAGCAAACAAACAACAATCAGTTCTGGCAGTCTACTGGCCAGCACGGTGACTGTGGCTAACAATACTGTATCGCATGCCTGAAATTTGTTAACAGGGTACATCTTAAGTGTTTCCATCACACACACAAAAAGAGAACGATGGAGATGGCCGGGCGTGGTGGCTCATGCCTGTAACCCCAGAACTTTGGGAGGCTGAGAAGGGCAGATCACCTGAAGCCAGGAGTTTGAGATTAGCCTGGCCAACATGGTGAAACCCTGTCTCTACTAAAAATACAAAAATTAGCCAGGCATGATGGCATGCACTTGTAATCCCACCTACTTGAGAGGCTGAGGCAGGAGAATCGCTTGAAACCTGGGAGGTGGAGGTTGCAGTGAGCTGAGATTGTGCCACTGCACTCTAGCCTGGGTGACAGAGCGAGACTCCATCCAACTGAGAGAGAGAGAGAACGAGAACTATGGAGATGAGGGAACAGGTTGACCAGTGGATTTGTAGTAATCATTTCAGAATGTATACCTATATCAAAACATCATGATATTTTTGGTAAATATACTCAATTTTTATCTTTCAGTTATGCCTCAAAAATCTGGAAAAGGCTGGGCATGGTGCCTCATGCCTGTAATCCCAGCACTTTGGGAGGCCAAGGCGGGTGGATCACCTGAGGTCAGGAGTTCGAGACCAGCCTGGCCAACATGGCAAAATCCCGTCTCTACTAAAAGATACAAAAATTAGCTGGGTGTGGTGGCAGGTGCCTGTAATCCCAGCTAGTTGGGAGGCTGAGGCAGGAGAATTGCTTCAACCTGGGAGGTGGAGGTTTTAGTGAGCCTGGGAGACAGGGCAAGACTCCGTCTCAAAAAAAAAAATCTGGAAAAGAAACCCCTATAGAGTAGAGAAGGAAGCAAGTCGGGCAGAGGGAGAAATGAGCTGAGATATAGACCAACCGCAGCCTCAGCTGAGTCTGCAGAGACTTCGGAGGCTGCAGTTGCCCTGCAGAGGCCCTCAGCACAGCCAGGATGGTGAGAACTTTATACCTAGTGGGCTGCCCTGGGAAAAGGTGTGACTCAGGCGAGGGACTCACTGCACAAACGCCTCTGTTGGATGCCTTATTTATTTATTTATTTTTGAGACAGAGCCTCACTCTGTCATC